TAAAGACAGTCGCAGACTAATCAAGAAGTATTACCGATTCGATTAGTATGACCGAAAAATATGTCAAAAAAAAACAAAACCAAAAACAACTCTTTCTATGTAATTTATTAGTCAATACTAGTGATAATTTAATCGAATAAACAAAATAATAATAATTTATTTGAGATTAAATCTTTATAGTATTGACTATAATGAGTATTAGATAAGACAGCATTTATAACAATAAATTCTTTTTTGATGAGACGACATATTTGATTTATCCTTAAATCCGACCATATTTACAAAAAATTCCTTTGTGATAAGGGTAATACACAGTGAAACTCGATAAGTCGGACACGATGGCTGTCCGACTTACAAGGAATCCGACTTGTCGAATGATTTTAATATGAAAAAAAGAAAAGTGCAGAGGGATTTGTCCGACTTATCGAGTTTCACTGTGTATTTGTTTCATTTCTTGTTTGTTCAAAGTATAAATAAAGTGCGGCAGCATGCTCGGATGAAACAGTCAGGACAACAATCGATGTATATACAGTCAACTGCCTTTAATTCGACCGCCTCCGTTCCGGAGCGAAAATTCAAAGTAACCAATCAGGAACTTGTATCCGCCAATTTTAATATGAGATAATAGTACACGTAATAATAATAATAATAATAATAATAATAATAATAATAACGCAACCGTGCTTAAATTCCCACGGTCTATTTTATTAAATTGTTCTCACGAGATTGTCTTCTATTGGTGTGATCATGTCTTTTTCGTTTATGCGCGCTTGATAGGGTTAAGCGACGTTTGTCACCAGGAAATATTGTATGGCCTTTATTTTTAATGCACATGTTCGTTCGAACAACCCTCAGATAGGCCATACTCTATCTTCACTTTTATATTAAGGAACTACAAAACATTGAAGCAAACTAAAGGCAAATAACAAGAAAACCCGTCTGGATATAAAAGTTATGTCTCATGGTAACAACATTTAAAGTACGAATTTCGCTTTTACTCTTATATTTTCCAAATTAAAAAGAAGACTATTAGGAAAGGTTTAGACGTGATAAATACGGGCTGAGTGTCTATCAGTCTTAACAGACTTTATTGGATGGATTTGGTTCTTGTTCTTTTTTTCCGTTCTTCGGTTAGGGTAGCAGTCACTCGATCACTTTGGGTTTGTTTAAGACTCAATGTCACTATGAACAATCAGGAACAAATTAGTATTTAGAGTTTACGGACAATGTGATGTCTTTCTTCTTTTCCATACTTACATCGATCCAAAGCCAACTCAATTGAAGTTCTATTTCTAATCAAAGCCAACAATGGCCATGTAGATTGCTCGCCTTTTTTAATCCAGTAATCAAGAGAATTGTTGGTGGGATTTGATACAAGTTGTTTGAAGTCGGAAAAAGAAATGTGTGGCGTTATAGTGACGTTTGCAGTAAGCTTTTCGTCGACAACGCTACGAAACAGTTTAGGAAGGAGATGCATGTGTTCGAGCTGTGTCATTGAACGCGTAGTTAGTTACATGGGGTGTCCGACAAGTGCTCGTTGGTAACCAATCAACATTAGCCCAAATCACGCATATTCTCATTCGTTTCCCTTCCTCACCTGATACAGCCGGTGTTGAACTTCCGATGAAATAAAATGTCCACATTTCAGGAGAAACCCATTTATCTTGTTTGAAGACTCTTTAGGCATGAACGGTACCACGGCCGGATTGGCTTGGGAAAGAATGAAATGATTGACGTTGAAGAGTTCTGTTATACGTTGAAATGGATATTCGCTAAAAGAATAAAACAGCAGGTCAAAACATTTGGAGCAAAGGAATCTGATAGCCAGCTAAACATAGGTGTAATCATAGATTGGTTGTAATGAAACTAGCAATCTTACCTTTCAGACGGAACAGAATCTTTCCATTGTATATCTATAATCAAATGTTGTTATCAGTATCACTTGTTCCATAATCCAGTCTTACAAAATTTTGCTACATTTACGTGATGGTGCCCATGGAACAATGGCGCCGGTTTTATCTTTGGCCAGTAAATCGACACTATCATACAATCCTGTAACTGCCACAGATGCAAGAGCAGCGCTTCGAATCAACTTTCGGAAATAACAACTGTTTGGTTAGAGAAGTGATGACATGCATGATCGTATTGAATTTTCTTTTTACATATACATACAACATTTGGCGCAGTCAAGTAGTTCAATAGTTGAGGGACTTCGAATTTTCTTGCAGAATTTACAGTGATATTGAGAATGCGCTTTGTCTTTATAAATGCTTCCTTCGATCATTACCATACGTGTGTTAACATAATACGCACAATTGAGAAAGCCAATAACAATATTTGAAAAATGAAATAAGCTTACTTCGAAAGTCAAGTTTCCAATATTACTCTCGACACATTCTTGTAACACCCTGACATCCATTAAATAACCTATATACAGATAATGTGTTATTCGCTTCACAGTCTCTTTTTATATCCAATACAGTTATTACGCGCATTATAAACTTGCCATGTTTGAGCAAACGAGTAATTTTTCTTCGCACATTGCCTTTCTGGCCCACTCTACTAAATGCTCCGAGATCGATTCCATTAGGTTGGAAGATTTGCTAACGTTAAAGGGTATACCGACAACTTAATATCAAGGCAGAACTCTATTTACGATCAATGTACTAATCACAGCTCTCAAAATACTCACAGGCAGCTCTTCATCAGTATTAATGCAGACAAGCGCCGCAATTAGTGCACCAATAGCAGTCCCGCTAATAATTCTTGGCAATAACCCACGTTCGTTCAACGCCTTAACCACACCGAGATGGTACAGTCCGAACGCCGCTCCTCCATATAACACCAAAGCAGAGCAACCGAAAGATTGTTTCGTGTCATGAAAGAATTCGACTTTCGATTGGAGAGTCAGTTCCGAGTTAGCAACGTATTCGAGCTGAGACACGACTTCGCGAGTATACTCTTCAATGAGGTTTTTTGTGCTGGTTGATACGAGACACTTGATGAGTAAAAGGTACAAAGTAAGATGAACGAAGTAAATATAGGCTCACCCCAAATAGGACCTCTGGAACAGTCTGACGTCATTAAGCCCACCGAGATTTCTCAGCAAACCTGGTTGGAACAAGAAAAAGTCCACAACACGTTAAGGAAACGTTATGTCTTTGTAGGTTTTTTGCAATTTTCTTCTTTATCATAGATTCTGGGGAAAAAGGGTCCTCCGTTATGCGCTTTACGCCCAAGCTCAATTTACCATTTTTCTTTTTTGAACTAATTTACGCTTCTACTCTTCCGTCATGATTCATGTTCCTTACCACATCGTAACAAATAAATTACGGCCATAACATCTTGCTTCTTGCGATCCTCACGAAGAAGTGAAAGTCGGTGCTCAATCAGTTTGTAGTCATAATAAGGAGATCTAGGATTGGCTTTCCAAACATCGTTGCCTAAAAAAGTCAAGCAAAGGTCGAGTTAAAATAATGGTCCGTACAGGTACAAGACGTTAGAATTGCATTTATGAATGAGTATTGGGTGAACCCACCTAGCATACTGTTTGCAAGTGAATAAAAAAAAGTTAGCGCATGACATTTCAAAGAAAAGCATTTGTTCGCGTATTAAAGTGATGGCTTAATCTCTTACTAATTCCTTATCTTTTTTCAGTAACAATAATTATCTCTCTAAATTATCGTCAATATTACTCTACGCCCTATGCATTTAATCCAATGCACTGTCTTTTCTGATTTCCTAATTCTCTTTAATAAAGTCCTCCCTATTCGATCCTAATACGATTAAAAAAGTGATCCATTACACATCTAGTTCACGAGCCTTATTCTCCCATTCTTGGTAAGTAGTGGCCTGCCATAACTCGTCGCGTAATTTTCCTGCCGGTGTGCGGTTGTGCCGAAGTTTCTATTAAAAAGAACAAGTAAATAAATTAGGGATCTGTACTGCAAGTTAAACTCTTAAGTTATAGTTTATGTCATTGTCTTTGTACTTGTCTTGATTGCAATACCTTTGAAATAAACGACGTAAGTCTAATCGCAAAAAAGCAGACTGCAGATAGCAAGCTCGTTATAGCAGCTGTTATGCGTGACTATGGAAAAAAGTAGTAAGTTACGTGTAAGTATAGTTTCATTTGTTTAGAGGCAGAAATATTCTCAGTTAATTGTACCAGCATCGTTTATACGCTTCCTTTAATTTTCTGATCCTCAATCTAGAGTTTTTTATAGTGAGGATCGGGCGTTTCCATATCATATGTAAATTGTAAATATAACAGGAAATTTTAATTATATCATATGCGTATCACATGACGTTAATGCATGGAGCAGATCTCTCGCATTACATTGGTCGACTTCATCCTATATCGCTTGTGTATTCTATCTGAAGCAATGAAAGGATTCCAGTCTTACGCCAGCCATTTTTAATAGTCTTTATCGAAACGTTGTCTCATGCTACAACAATAAACTCGATTTTTTTAAAACTGGTGGATGATGCATCCATAATGTAAAGATTGCTAATTTATATGATTTTGAATATTGATCTCTTAGGCGCCACTTTGGTTTGATAACTGGATAGGATTATAATCAGATACTCTGGTTTGACTCCTCATTATTCGCAGCGACAAAAGTACTTGTATTCTGTTTTGGTGAATTTTTCGTCGGGATTATTAAGCCGCGAACGACCCAAATGCGAATTTGCATTATCCACAAGTAAAAGAGCATTGATTTTTTGATTTGACACCAGCAGTCAAATTTTTTGAAGGTAATGTTTTTGGAACAATGCGGTCTTGGTAACGAGGAGTTCGAGTTTGTAACATTGCAATTGATAACCGGTTTTATAAAAAAAATTCTTTTTTACAATTAAAACTTTAACCTTTTTCCTGGTATGCTGCCTAGTACTAGTATTTGGTTTGGTGTTATACGATAAAATAAACGTGTGTGAAGGATCATACTCGGGCTAACACTTTTTGCGGCTTCTAACCTTTTTTCCTGAAGATTTTTATCAGTGCACTCCCGGCCTCCCCATGGAGAGCTGTTTTATGAATGATAATAACAATTCTCTTTTTTAAGTTTGTAAACTCAGTCTTTAAACTTTGCGTGTCACAATTGTCAATATAATAATAATAATAATAATAATAATAATAATAATAATAATAATAATAATAATAATAATAATAATAATAATAAT